AGGGGGGTTGGATGGGTCAGGGGTTCTGAGGGGAGCAGTCGGGGGTGGGAAGTGGGAGGGGTCAGATACGAGGCGGGGGCCAGGCTGTTTGGGGAAGCACAGCCTTCCCTACCTGGCCCTCCATACAACCCCAATGTGGCCCTCGGGCCAAAAAGTTCGCCCACCCCTGAGCTAGACCACCTCCACGGCCTCTGGAAAGAGACTCACTGCAGAGCGCCCTCTTGTTTTAACATCCCAAGCAAAGGAATTTGCACCCTGGCCTCGAGGCAGCCCAACAGGAAAGCGCCACCCTACATGATCTGCTAACGCCATTTCTTCTCATTCCTTTGTTACACCTCACCACGTTCACTACAGTCTGACTGCAGCACGTTGAACCCTTTCATGCTTCATGTAGAAATCCGCAGAGACCGCAAGACAGGATGCAGGGAGGAGCGAGAGCAGCCCCAAGGTGCCACAGGGTGGAGGGACAATTCTGGAAATGCTCTGAAGGTACCAAAGGGACTCTAGAGAAAGGTTCAGACTCAGTGTGAACCTAAGTGACTCTCCCATGAAGCAGAGCGGAGGAAGATGAGCCATAGAGAACATGTCTGAATCATTCCGCAGTAGTCCTGAGAGGCAGATAACACCCAAGTTATGACAAACTTGGTCTTTGCCAGCCAGCGCCAGCAGGCCCGTGACTTGGCTGAAGGAGACTGGAGGGGCCAAGCCACCCTCAGCATGCCAAAGAAACTGCTGCGTTAGTGGGGTGACGAGTAACAGCCCAGCACCGCCGCTGCGTTAGTGACAGGCACGTGAACCGTTACCATGGGCCTCGGCGCTCCTCATCCGCGCCAGCTCAGGCAGTGTGAACAGCGCTGTCCTACGAGGGACTAAAGCAAGGGTGGAGCAGCGCTGGGCAGCTCTGCACAGTGCCCCAGGCAGACCACACCACACCTCCACGTGCACGACATTCCCATGTAAATTTAGTGCCACAGTAGCCACGGCATCGGGCACATTTCCTCCTCTTCCCTGTAGGCATAGCAGAGGAATGCTGGCGAGTGCGAACGTGCCTGTGTCAGCAGAGCATGCGGGGAGACTGCGGCAGAGGATGGGATTAGATGCCGGGGCTACTTACACAGGCCAAGGGGGGAAGAAACCACTGGATCAGCTCTTCCAATTGTCCCACAAGCTTTAGTGATTAAGAGCAGCCAGCAGTTCCACCATGAAGGTGCATCAGAGCTCCTGAAGCCAGGCCGGTGTGGACACAGGTATTGCCAGACTGGGTCAGTGCTATGGCCCACTAGGCCAGTATCCTGCTTCAGGGCAAGGTGTAAGACACTTCACAATAGGTAGTGATGGGATAGTCACCTGCCCCAGGGGAGTCCCCTCTTGACCTCCAGTAGGTAGTGAGCTCCAGCCCAGAAGCAGGAGGGTTGATGTCTTTTCTTGAGCTTTTTAAATTTAATTCAACTCCTCTGGCTATTTGTTACCCATAGAAGTGTCCAATAGCCTTTGAATGTGGCTTAATACACTGTGGCAGTGAGTTCCACAGTCTCGTTACACCTAGAATGAAAACACTTTTTTCCTATTCTTTGAATTTGTCACTTTCCAATGTCATTGGATGTTCCTTGCTCTGGTAGACAGAGGACAAGCACACAATCTTCCTTCTCTAGATCAGAGATTTTATACACTTCTATCCTATCCCTTATGTATGTATCTCCTTTCAAAGGAGACCAGTGCCCGTCTTTTCCATCTCTTCAGCCAAAGCTTTTCCTGCCTCTGGTCATTGTCACTTGGCTCTGTGCCCCTCTAACGGTGCAATATCCTTTAAGATTGGGTGAAAGATACAGTACACAGGATCCAGATGTGCGCCAACCACGGATTTGTATAATGAACTTACGACTATATTCTCCGTCCGGTTTCTTATGCACCTTAACATCTGGTTGGACTTGACCACAGCCATGCATTGAGCAGATCTTCAGTGAGCTGGCCACACACACTGGCCCCCGTCCTGAGTTCACACAGTTTGTTACAACGTGGCAAGGTGCACAAGCTATTGTGTCCTCTCCTGCATTGCTCAGCACTGAGCTGCCCTCTTCCCTGGCCTAGCCAGGCCCCTCGGAAGCTCTGCCATGCCCATGTTGGGCTTGACTAACCTAAGTTACGGCCTCTGCAAATTGCATCACTTCACTGCTCAGCCCCTTTCCCAGACCATTAAACCCCGCCCCGCACGCGCAGCCTTCTGGCACCTGCTCTTAACTTTTTGCCATGACAAAAGCGACGTATTCCTCCTGTTTTCTCCTCTCAGCCAGTTTCTGATCCATGATAACACCTAGCCTCCCACCTCATGACTCGTCTCTTTAGTAATCACGCATGAGAGATCTTGTTCAAGGCCTTTTAAAAAAAATACCAGTCAGATGTTTCTCTACTCACTGACTGAAAACAGCACAGCAATCCCCAGCCCTTCCCCCTCTTGGGCGCCCAGAGGGGCACACCACTTACCCAGAGGGAAGGTGATCTGGTCACACATGCCCAGCAGCTGCCCGAAGTACACCTTTTTCTCAGAGGGATGAATGCCAAGCTCTGCCATTCTGTAATGGAAGCACCACAGAGTCACATCAGGAGATGCCCAGCAGGAAGGGGGGAGGGATAGCTCAGTGGCCTGCTAAACCCAGGGTTGTGAGTTCAATCCATGAGGGGGCCATTTAGGGATCTGGGACAAAAATCTGTCAGGGACGGTACTTGGTCCTGCTGTGAAGGCAGGAGACTGGCCTCAATGACCTTTCAAGGTCCCTTCTAGGAGCTAGGTCTAGCTCCATATAACAATGGAGAAAGGAAATGCTACACTAGGAGGACAGAGTGAGCTGGAGGGACAGTGAAGCAGCCTCTGGGTCAGGGAATCCTGCTCCTTTTCCAGAGGTCTATTACCCACAGGCCTGGATTAACAACTTCCCCAAGGGTAAAAAAGGAGCAGACTGCAAGAGAAGCATGGCAGAGTTGGGTACCTGGTGCCCATCCCCTCAGAGTGCCTGGCACAGCTCTTCCCTGGAACCGCTGCATGCCCTCACCCACGCATCTGCCCAGCACACAGTGCTGCATGGAACAGTTTACAGCCCCAGCACATCTTCGTCCGGCCGCTGTGCAACATCTGCAGTCACTGGCCTTCATACTC